AGAACCAAAGCTGGTTCTAAGAATCCCTACCAACAACGTGATCAGATAGGATTTATGAGAAAATGGAAGTGAGACATAGAGAACAATTGAGCACAGCGTAGTCAACCAACCAGCCAATTGGTTACACTTTACACGGTTGGCCACGGGGCCTTCTGCAACCGATCAATGCTCTGTCACTGGGATTCAACCCTCTATTGGTTTGGTGGGTTGGGCCTGGCACAGGTGACCAGTCCAAACGCACATTCTTCCGCAAATTTATTCAATAGTTATTTTTAACCAAAAGAAACAATCGGCTGATTTGGTATCCCCACCACTGGACATGAAGCGATTTCCAGCTCCGTAAATGAAAGATGATAGTCAGAGCTGTCCAATGTTGAACCAGAGCTAAAGAACCCGGAGACCTTGGGTTCTAACTTGGAGGCTTTGCATCCAGTCTGTAGAGAGGTCTTTGAAATTTTGCTGGTGTGCTTGTTTCTATTTCTAGCATTGATACTACTTGTCTTGGGGGTAATGCTCTCTCTCTCTCTCTGGGTAACTTTTTATTATCCCTGAGCACACCTGGAAAGTTTTTAATGAAGTCTTTACAAAGTGAGCACGATAGAGTGAGGGACTTACTCTGCAGAGTCAAATCCTGTGCTGACTTTCTAATGTCCTCTGCAGATTCATAATGGACATGGTCGTCAGTTTAGCAGGAACCTGGAGGAAACACCTGTAGAGAATCCCAGCTCTCCCTGGGAAACACCAGTGCTCTGCTCTGCTGATTTCTGTCTCTTTCCACTTCCATTTCTCAGAGTAAAGAATGAGGCAGGAAAAGAAGAGAGAGATGGAGAGAGAGCAAGCCCCAGGTGGGTGGAGAGAAAGGAAAGGAAGCCGGAATGAACCTACAGACCTGCTGAGACACAAGGATTTCTGTAAAAGTATTTCATACTCTAGGAACTTCATTTGGATTAAACATTTCATCTGGATGTCTCAAAGCAGATGAGTGGGAATTGATGTATTTCGGAGGAATTGCAATTAAGGATTATCATAGAAGTGTGTCTTTAAGCCAGGCAATTATATTGACTTGAGTCTTTAAAAATGGTTCCTTGTGAGATAGAATTTCTGAGAAAATTGCCTTCGGTACTGAATGTTTCCACATTCGGTCTCAGTCCAAAAGTGACTTTCCTCCTCCTTCATGACTTAATGATAAGGCGCTCGGTCACCTGGGGGCTGCCTGACCATGTGAAGGTCAGAGTGCTCAGCCCCGAACAGTCTTCAGGTCTCCTTGTGACATGCTGGTTCCCGTCAGTCCCCAGAGGTGTGCTTCCCACCAGGATGCCTGAAAGCAGCGTGCCTCATGGAGGGCCCCTGGCTGACGGTGACCTTGTGTGCCACAAGGATGGACTCACTGGCCACCCCAAATAAACTCTATTTATGGAGAGAGGAAGAGGGGAGGGGAAGGGAGGGGAGGAGAAGTGGGGAGAAAACGGGAGCCAGAGATTGAATCTCAGCAAGTCACGGGGCGGAGTCTGAGGGGCGGTGTTGTGCGGGGGCTTTTGCGGGGGATCTGCGTGTGCGCCCCCTCTCCCGGCCACCTCCGGTTTTTTGGGGGGTTGTTCGGGGGTTGAGGCGGGGTGCTGGGTTGCTGATCATGTGGTTTTGTTACACTGAACCTCCAGGAAAGGACGTCAGGGCTCTCTCAGAGAGAGAAGGCTTCCCTGATGTGAACTAACACAAAACCAAACTCAATCAATTTTGGCCCAGTGTCTCTAATTTCAGAACTCGATGTTAGGATCAGGTAGTCTTTAGTGGTCCCCGGGCCCGGCCTGTCTATCTCCAAAACCCAGGTTTTCCAAAACTACATACCAGGGCTTCCTTGCAGTGTGATCCTAAAATTCTCTCTTCTCCCTTTACATACGAGGTGAAGTGAAGACTCTAGGAAATGGATGCAAATCATTGAGGTTTGGGTTTAAATGCTGCCTGTTCAGAGAGGCCTTGTCTGAACACCCAGCCTAAGTCACAGGCCACCCCACCACTGTCACATTAACTATTTTTTGTTGTTGTTGTTATTGTTCTGGTGATTGAACTCAGGGGCACTCAACCACTGAGCCCCATCCCCAGCCCTATTTTGTATTTTGTTTAGAGACAGGGTCTCACTGAGTTGCTTAGCACCTACCATTGCTGAGGCTGACCTTGAACTCGTGATCCTCCTGCCTCAGCCTCCTGAGCCACTGGGATTACAGGCGTGCGCCACTGCACCCGGCATGTTAACCCATTTTACTACTGGTTTCCTAGCAGTGCCCACAGTGGGAAGTTCCCGGGGTGTGTATCTGCTTGCTGACCTCTTCTGCAGCGCCTGGTCTGGGGATTCCCCAAGGGCAGGGCCTCTGCTTTGTGAAACGCTGCTTTATCCTGGTATGCCAGAGGTGCCTGGCCCAGAAGACATACTGGATGAATGAATAAATAAAGGATCATTTCAGTGATCACATAGAAGAAAGCATGCGCTGAAGAAGTGGGTCAGGAAGTTTTGTTCTGAGGGCAAAGGAAAGAGGAGATCAGCTCCTTTGTGCTCTGCAGTCACCTGAGGTCTGCCAGGTCTCCTGGCCATGCCCACACACAAGCCACCTCACAGATTTAAATCCCCTAACCTGCCTTGCAAGCTACCTAGTGGCAGTTCATTGCAGGACACAGGGGGCTGGTTCCCTCAAAACATTACTGATGAACTTCGATTGTGGATGACTAAAGTCACATCTGTGATTCAACTACAGAGGGTGCCCAACTTACCAGGGTGTGACTTATGATTTTACTTTATTTTTATTATTTCACTTTATTCATGGTGCCAAAGTGATAAGCCATCAATAGAAACCACATTTTGAGTTGGGATTGTTATGAGTTGGAGATGGGGTCTTCCCTGTCCCCAAACTCCTGTGTTAATGTAGGAATGTTCATGGGGGAAATTATTAGATCATGAGAGCTGGACCCAATGAGCCCGTCCTAGTTTGAATGGACTGACTGGGTGATAACTGGAGGTCCAGCTCCACCCAGTCCCATGAGCAGGAGCAAAGCAACCCACACCCCACAGAACACCGTGTGGCTAAGCCAGGCGGGTAGGGAGGTCAGCTGGATTAAATGCATTTTCAACTTAAAATACTTTCGACTTATGATGGGTCTATTGGGATGTAATTCCACCACAAATTGTGGCGCCTCTTTATAACCTAGCTGAGAAATTCTTGTCTGGGGGGACATAGTGGAATCTCTGGGAGGAAGGACGAGTGAAGAAGTGAATGGAATTTAAAATGGGCTGCCTCTGACGATTTTAATACTGTTGGGGAGGGTTATGTTTTAAAAAGCTGGAAAGTGTTCTAAATAATGTGATCGGATAATATTTACAAGAAACCTTAATAATGGGAGAGAGACAAGGATCAATCTGGAATTTGGAGTTTAATGGCCGGGAGCACAGTGGATATTGACCTCTATGGAGAATTTAGGACAAGCTGATTTGGGAGATAAAGCTAAGTAGAATTTTGACCTTGCTGAGCTTCAGATGACAGAAAGCCACCCTGTAGAGACTGCAGTGTTCTGTTAGTCAGTCAGTGGAAAGGAAAGAGTTGGAGACCTGGAAGAGAACCTCTGCAAATCTGGATGATACACTTTTCCCCCTCTATGTAATAGAGATTATATTTAGACCTTGTTCCTAGCACAGGATTTCAAAAACCACTTGGACTTCTTGAGTGAGCAGGGTGTCCTGTTATACTAATGAGGTGGCCCTGGTGGGTCTCTCAGTAGCTTCAGGATGGGGATTGGGCACCAGACAAACCACCACAGGATTAGAGGGTTGGAATTTGGGGCCAGTAACATCTCCAGAGGAAAGAGGCATGCAGCAATGATTTAATCAGCCAAATCTATATAATGAAACCCCAGTTTGAAAAAAAAAAAAAAGAAAAAGAAAACACACTCTGGAGCTTCCTGGTTGGTAACACATTGATATACTAATAAGGTGAAGGACCAGGCTCTATGGGAAGAGGGCTCAGAAGCTCTGCATCCAGAACTCTCCCAAACCTCCTCACCCATTGTGTCTCTTGCATATGGCTAGCCCCACACTATCTCCTTTATAATACACCTGTAATCAGAAGTACACTTGTCCCTTGTGCACATAGGATTTGTTCCAGGACCCCTATAGATGCCCACAGCCATGGATGCTCAAGTCCCTTACATAAAATGGAATAGTATTTGCATATAGCCATGCACATCCTCCAGTACATCTTTCTGTTCGTTTGTTTTTGTGGTGCTAGGGCTTGAACCCAGGGCTTCATGCATGTTAGGTGAATGCTCTACTACTGAGTTCCCTCCTGTAGGCTTTAAGTCAATTTCTATGTGACTTACAATACCTAATACAGTGCTATGTAAGTAGTTGTTATACTACATAGTGTAGGGAACTGTGCACGAAGAAAAAGTCTGCACATGTCTAATACAAATGCAATTTTTAAAAAATATTTTCAATCCATGATTGGTTTTCCTCTTGCAAATGGCGGCTATGGAGGCCCAACTACATACAGATCCATTATAACATGTTACCCCATTTTAGAAAGGTAATGTTAAGGAAAAGGGCATCTTATATTTTATAGCCTTTGCTTCTCTTTAACTTTCAAGCAATTTGCCGTACATATGTTGAATACAACTACTTTTTCCTTAAAATTTTCTGTTCCAAAAATATGACTGTCTCCAAGCATATCTGTCCTTATTATAAAATATCCAGATTGAGGGTAAAAGTGGCTGAGATAGGACAAGAGCCTCTTTCATTCCGTAAGAAGCACCGCGACAATGTTTTTAAATCCTTCATTTTCACATTAACTGAATCTTGGGAAAGGATTCTTCCCTAACCACACCTTAGTGCTTTCCATACTGACAGAAACCGGCTTCATTTGATGTGTCCACCTAAACTGCAGGCCTTAGTGAAGCAAGCAGGTTCTACTCTGATGGTGCTGTTTTACTATGTGGAGAAAATGCAAGCAAGACGCTTGTTGATTTGGTTTTAGTTTAATGAGCAGAGAAATAGGGGGGAAGGGGAGACCAATGTTAAGGTTCTAAGAACCCAGAGAGAGAGCCCTTCAGGCAGAAGCTGGTGGCGAGGCAGACTAACAACACGGAGCCAGGCAGGCAGCAGGTGCGTGGGAGGAGAGCTGCCCCTGCTCCTGACACAGCAGGGGACAGACCACGGGTCCCCTGGCCATCAGCCACCTGCAGCCCTCGGGCTTCCAGAGGACTCCATGGCTTTCCACCTGTCCTCCAGATGGCCGACCCAAAGGAGGCAACATCCAGAGATCCACGATTGTGTTTCTAGGACTCCGTGGATGAAAATCCCCTCCTCACAAGTACGCGACTTTATGTCTTTCTTACCTTCTTAAAGTTTCTTTCAGGTTCCTACATGAAATTTGTAAACTGCTCAGTGTGAGAAACTGGCTCAAGAGTTTGGATCTTGATTAGACCAAAGTGATAAAAATGCTACCTCCAAACACTGTGGTCCCCACCCAGGCCTAAGCAGTGCAGCAGAGCCCCACTTTCACTTGCAAAAAAAAAAAAATTTGCTGAAACATGAACAAAATCGAGGGCACTTGGCTTTGATGAAGGTCGGACTCACGTCTGATGAAGTCCCTCTCTTCAGGGGATTTAAGTGATCAGCATATGACAAATCTATCCTAGGTAAAAGGAGGGCTATAAAATCTGAAGGAAAGAACGTTCTGCCTTTCTTTAGAGGACCTGTCACAAGACCATGGCAGACGCCTGGTACATACTCGTGGAGATGATGGGCTGATTATTTTACAGTAGCTGCCTGAAATAAGTAGGTGTCAGATGTGGGGAAAGAACATACTGTATTTATACACACTGTGATTAAGTTACTTATCATCGACATGGGTGCTTTCATTATGTACATACTAATCATGTTTCAAAGTTCCAGTCACTCAGCAGGCTGGGACACTTGCCTTGAGTCACTGTTGAGGAACAAACTCTGTGACTTTGAAGAACATGATGAAACACAGCTTGTTTCCTTACTTTCCACTGTTCTCCAAGTAACAGTGGTTAGTAGCACTGACATGGCTGTGCAGGATGCATGAAGCACATCAGAGTTTAAGTGATTTAGAGTACAGTGTGGAGCTTGTGACTAAAATCATTCCTTTGTCACCGTTTTAGTTATTATTCTAAAAAGACCTATGAGACCATAAGGAGCATTTTTATCACATGTCTACAACAGAAACTGTCAAAGATGATGCTTACCTAGGTGTCTAGGTTGAAGAAGCCTGCAAAACAGTGAGTATGATCAGTGTTCTGACACTATAACAGACAACCGAGATGATCCACTTATAAGAAAAAAGGTCTATGTTGGCTCCAGTCCTGGAGGTTTCAGTCAATTTAACTGGGCAAATCCATTGCTTTTAGGCCTCTGGTCGGGGTGCAGGATGGCAATGGTGGGTGGGTGGGGACACACTAATAAAACTTTCACCTTATTGTTGGGAAGTGAAAGAGACAAAGAGGAAGAGACCAGATCCCACAGTCTCCTTGGAGGGCCACACCCCACTGACCTAAAATCTCCCACCTCTTAAACTTCCCTCCACACCCCAAAGACCACTCTGGGGAACAAGGCTAGCACACATGGGCCTTAGGGGGACCTTCCAGCTCTGAGCTTCAGCATCGTCGTCTCTCCACTGAAACTCGAGCTAGCGGGTGGAACAGCCCATACTAGTTGGAGATGCTCTTTGGCAGTTTGCAAGAAGCAAGTCCCATCACCAGGCTGTGGACAGCTTCATCTCTGAGTTGTTGACCCCCATCCTTGGAGAATCAAGAGTGCATCCACCACTGAGAGGATCACTCGTCTGACCCTCAAAGCTTCACCTGATCACACAATCCTGTGTCTCATTCCAAGAAATGCACACAGTCTCTTCCACATGACTTTCTTGCATTAACAACAACAACAACAAAGGAGTCGATATTCTTTACAGGATCCAGAAATAAACAAAACCCTTTTGGATAACTTATATGCTATATTCACAGCATGGACTGGGTGACCAGGAAACCCAGTGCTTTAAAAAAAAAAAAAAAAAATTGGCTGCTCCCTCTTCTTCCTTTTCTGTCTGCCAGGTGGGGCCCTGACTTCCAGAGCATGTCTGGCTCTCGGTGGCACCCTGCCTGTTATCTCTGTCTGGCAAAGCACCACTCGGTGCTTCCAGAACTTCAGAGCCTTCCAGGACACTGATGATAAGTTATTCTCAGACCTCCTTGCCAAAAGTTTTCTTGGCCGAGGGACTGAGGAAGACCATTGTTGTCGCTGGCTGTTATCTCCCGGGCCGACTCGGCTTGGCAGAGGTGCTTGTCCATCGTTGCGGTGTGGAAAACAGGGTGCTGGACACCAGAGCAGCCAGAGTGTTAATAAACAAGAGGCATGGAGGAAATAGCAGCCAGTCTTGAAAACAAAAAAAGAAACAGTTTGAAGTTTATTGGATGCCAAGATGTTTGTCCTCCGGAGCTCAGCCCGGCTTTATCTCGCCCCACAGCTTTCCTATCAAAGAAATGGGGAAGTGAACAGTTTATCAAATGTGAATCAGCTGTAATGTTTGTGTTTGACTGACATAGCACGGAAAGTATTTTTTTTTTTTTTGTGGTGCCAGGGATACGGTTTTTCATTCGCTGAAAATTTCTCCCTGTCATTCATCTCTCATTTATGTCAGACTCCATATTCTAGGAAATCCTCAGTCTACCAGGATGTTGCTTGGCTCCCGGTGCCATCGGGGAGAGGCCTCCAGACGGTGGCCTCAGAAGTACCTGCAGCGAGGTGAAAGGGGCAGGCTTGCTCCTAAGGTGGACAGAGAAGCAGGATGGGAGCCCCGCTGGGGGCAGGAACTGTCCCTGAAGCAGAGGCAGAGTGGGAGCAGGCTGCACCACGTATCCCCTGCAAACACAGTAGGAGTCTGCACACTCAACCCTGGCCGCGGGCACCCTGCAGCGAAGCACACCTCTGCCTACCTCTCAGCACCCACAGGGGTCTCTGGGATGGCCAATGTGGTAAGCTGAACACCAGGCCAAGGGACCCACAAGATGGAGAGCTCAACTCTTGAAAATATAGTGTGTCACTCTCAGGCTTCTTGGGGAAACAGGAGGAGGGAGCTAGCTCCAGTTCCAGGGCCACCTTCCCTCCCAGGGACCTAGAACCAACAGGGGTGTCCAAAAGCAATGCTGCATGCGCTAAACACCCTAATGTTGCTCCACTGGAGAGATGGGACTTCCTAAGGTGACTCAGGGATATCCTATAATAATCCTGGGGCAACAGGGTCATTGATTTTGAGGGAATCTTTGTTTGCTCCAGAAAATTCAGGTTTTGTCCTGACATGGGTGTTACTGACACACGCGTCTTCATCGGGGTGACCAATGGCCCACTTATCAGCCCACACCTGATGGAGATGAGGATCCACCTTCCTTTTATCACAGGTACACCACGGGGACTGCTGACCATCTGGGCTCTTATGATGGAACATGATGATGGTCACCACAGGCCTCTGTCTAGTTAGACACAGATACCTCAATACATGACCACTTCCCTGTGTGACAGGGACAGCAGAGCATGCACAAGGTAGGACTTCAGGGCCTCCTCTCAATTGCAGGGTGGTGAAGAGTTGCTCATGCGTGTGGAGAATTGCCTGGGGGAGGTCCCGGTTGGGGTGTCATGTTGGCACTGGTAGTCTGAGCCAATGGAAATCCACAAAACCTTGTGGTAGACACACTTCTTTGTGCTTTGGGGAGCATGATCAACATCTGGAGGGCCCAGTGCAAGGAGGTGGAAACAATTTTCTCCCTATGGATATACACACTTCTTAAAATATAACATTTGTTTCTATTAGTACTTGGACACTACCAAACATATTGAACAGATCCAGGCTAAAGAAGCTAAGATCCAGGTGTTTTAGTCAATTTGGGTTGCTATAACAAAATACCACAACTTGGAGGCTTACATAAACAACTGAAAATCATCACTCACAGTTTTGGAGGCTGGAAGTCCAAGATCAAGGCCTGCAGATTCAATGTCTGGAGAAGGCTTGTTTCCTGTTTTGTAGATGGAAACTTCTTGCCGTGTTCTCACATGGTGGAAGGAACTGGGGAGCCTTCTGGAGCCTCTCTTATAGGACACTAGTCCTGTTCATGAGACTCCACCCTCATGACCTCCCAGAGTTCCCAACTCCCATAATACCATGAGCACAGAGATTAGGAGTTCAACATATGAATTTGGGGAACACACACATTTAGTCCTAAGCAGCCGGTATGGAGTTTAAGATCAACCAGCAGCATTTCCTTGATTCTATTTTTACTCATGTCTATTGGAGGGAGACCATTCTCTCGGCAGTCCTGTTAGCAGTCCTTAGCACTAATGCAAAATTTATTAAGTACTGAGCTTTCTCATTATCTATTTAGCGGCTAAGTGGACAAGCCTGCTCTGTTAAACTTTACTCACATTTGTGTGCATTTGACCTAAAACATCTCTCTCCATGTTCTTCATTTGTGAAAAGGGCAACTGTACTTTAAGACCTGTTCACATGTCAACACCTCAAGAGAAACCAATCCGCCTTCTATGGGGACTGGTAAATACTCTTATTCTGCATATCGATTCTCAAAGGACATTTAGCATTAAACCAAAGCTGTTTCCCCTCTAAGTCCTGGTTGATAGCCAGAATCTGGATTCCCGGAAGCCAGACACCATCTCTGACTTTACCTTTTCAAGTCTAGCATTTACTACCAGAGTTCAATACATGTTAAATCATGGTTTGAATAATGTTTTTAAGTCTTTTTTAAAAAGTGTAATACCCAATGAAATGAGTTACTTGGAGAGAATAAACCCACATATCACCTGGGTCAAGAACTTAAAAATGACCAGACACCCCTGTCTGGAGCCCCTCCTGACCACTCTGTTCTTCTACCTCCTCAAAGATAGACACTATTTTCCCTTTTATCACAACCAGGTATTTGGTTTACTGTTTTGAACATTATATAAATGGAAGCATATAGAATATTTAATTTTATTTTCAACTTCTTTTGTTCATTATTATTTTCATGAGAATCACCATGTCATTGTAGGGAGCAGAGTTAGTTCCTTAGGGGAGCTGAATGGGACTCCACGGGAAGAACATGCCAATTTATTGTTCTGTTCTATTGCTGATGGATATTTGGGCTCTTTCCAATCTAGGGTTCTTACATGTTGTACTCTTCTGAATAGTCCTTTATGTCTCCTGTGACACATGTGGGCACACATTTCTGTTGGGAGACGTGCTAGGTCTTTAGGCAGACCAATGCTCAGCTTTAGTAGATAATGCTAAACTTTTCCAAAATGTGCTGGTATTATAGCTTCAGATATCAACAAGTGATCGGTCTGTGTGATTGAAGCCCTCCTGGTATGGGGGTGCGCGTGTGTATATGTGATAGTCACGCATCATGGTTTTAGCCCCATTCCCTATGGTTATGAGACTGGGTACCTTCTCACGTGGCCAAGGTCCACGTCGATGCTGTCTTCCATGGTTCCGTTCAGATGCGTTGTCCATGCCGTCTACAGGGCCTTCTGACTCACCTTCCATGAGTTACAGATGTTATAAATGTGCTTCCGTCCAAGGCTTGCCTGTTCACTTTCTTAATGCTCTTTTCTGATAACAAACAGTTCCAAATGTTGAGAAACACCAGCGTACAGGACTTGACTTTTATGCTGAAGGACTTTAGTGTCTTATGCAAGAAATCTCTCCCTTTTCTATGCTCTTAAAGATATTCTTCTAAATCTTCTCCCAGAAGCCTTATAACTTTACCCTTCACATTTACATCTACACTCTGCTGGAGTCAACTTTTTGCATTGTATGAAGGTGGAGATCAATTTTTATTTTAGTTTTCTACATGGATACCCAGTTCACCGTGCATCAATTATTGAAAAGACTTTATTTTTTCCACTGAACTATTATATTTTAATTCTCTTTCAGTTAACAATATTTTCTAACTTCCATTAGGATTTATCCTTTGGCACACGATTTATTTTAAAATATATTTGAATTATTTCTAGTAATTTTTTTTTGTTATTAATTTCTAGCTTAGTTCTATTACAGAGCTGTATGATCTTAACATTGGTGAAATTTGTTGAGCCTTGCTTTATGGTACAGAGTATGATCACCTTCTTATAAATATTCCTGTCCTTAAAATTTGTATGTCTCTGCACATTGGATAACAGTGCCTTGTTATGTAGTTCAGTTTGATCTGGCCTGTTAATTAATAAGTGTCTTATTCAAATCCTCAATAGTTTTACTAATTTAAAAGTGTCTTTTCTGTCAATTATTGAGGAAGCTCTGTCATTTGTTGTAAATTTAGAATTCTTAATTGATGAAGTAAACGTTGTATAGTTATGTTGTATAGTTTCTCTCGATGTCTTTAGGAAGACCTCTTGCCTAATGTTCTTTCCCACTAGTTTTCTTTTGGTTAGTTTTTGCATAGTATTATGCATTCCATCTTTCTGTATTCTCATAATTCAAATGCATATTTTCCAAAATATTAGAAGTCTTTTTTTTAAAAAAAATAAGCCCAGCTATTATCATTTTAATGAAGATACTTAGTTGCTTTACAATTACTAAATCTCTTCATATATTTGGGCGTAAATCTACAATCTGCCAATTAGGTTTGTGCTGATCTTGCCTGTTCTAGGTACTTCCCAACCCCTTATTCTTTTTCCGGTTTTCTTTTTGTCTTTTTTTGAATTGACTCATTGTTTTAAAACCATTTTCTCCCATGAACTTGGCAGTTCCCAATTTTTTATTATTTTTTTTAGCAGTGGAGATTATATCATGCATTGCTAAATTATCAAAAGCTAATATCATTAACACTTTTGCTTCTAAATGCAAGGGACTTTAGAATATTCCAACTACACCCCTCCTGATTATTGTTGAAGTTTAAAAACAAACTTTCTATGTTTTTACATCCCAGAATATAGTGTTAATGCTATATTATAAAGAACAATGTTCATTTGGATTTAATCATTTATTTAACTCATTTCTGTGCTCTTTATTTTCATCTTCATTTTTAAGTAACTGTAAAAGTTTTCCTTTTACCTAAAGGATAGCTCCTTTATTTCAGTTCTGCTTGTGAGGATTCTCTCAGTTGTTGATTTCCTTGTCATTTTTTTGAGGGTTATTTTTTGGGAGGTAGAATTAAAAACTTCAAAGATATTATTCTTTGGTGTATTATTTCTGTAAAGTTACCTGTCAGTTTTGGTTTGAGGGGGCGGGGAATCTGCTATCTCCTTTGGTTTCTTCAAAGATTTTTCTTATTGTCTTTGTCTTTTAGTAGAATTTAACTATAACTTTTGTTTTTTTGTATTTATCTGATTGGATGTTTATAATCATTCTTGAATCTATGACTTTGTCTTTCATCAGTTTTGAAAAACTCTCAGCCATTGTCTCTTCAAATATTTCTTGTCTCATTTTCTCCCTCCTTTCCTACCAGGACTCCAAACACACTTTATGTTTTTCTACTCCATTTTCTATCTTTTCTCTCTTTTCAGTATGTTCTAAACTTTAGTTTTCCCTGTATCAACCTGAACATTTTCTTCGGTCTTTTCTTTCACTTCTCTAGTTCTCTTTTCAGCTGTATCTATTTTGCTCTAAATCTTATCCACTGAGTTCTTAATTTGAAGTTGCCTGTTTTAGTTATGTAATTCCTATTTGTGTTCTTTTATAGAGTTTTCAATTCTCTGCTTAACTTACCAGTCTCACCATTATTTCTGCAAATATAGTTGTCAGTGTTATTTTAAAGCTTGTATAAGAATGCCAATATCAGCAGGCATGGTGGTGCACACTTGTCATCCCGGCGACTCAGGAGGCTGAAGCAGGAGGATCGAAAGTTCAAAGACAACAATCTTAGCCTATCGAAACCCTGTCTTACAATAAAAAATGAAAAAGGGTGGGGATGTTGTTCAGTGGTTAGGCACCCCTGAGTTCAACCTCAGTGCCCCCAGCCCAAAAAAGAATGCCAATATCAGGATTGGCCATGTTGATTTCTATTGTTTCCTATTTATCATGACATTCAATCACATTGTCTGGACTCCTCATGTACATGATTATATTTGGCTGAGTTTTTCACATTGTATATGAAAAAGTGTAGGGAGAATTTAAGACCTAAGATGATGTCATAGTCCTCTAATGAGCAATATAAATTTGCTCTTGATAGATGTCTAAGGACACTGACAATCTCAATTACCTTAATCCTACAGTTGCACCACAATGTCTTTGAGGGATGATCTTTTTATGTTCACACTTACTCCTGTTGTGTAGCCTCTCAGGGTTCTGATCTAAAGTCTTACTTGCTAACTGCTGTGTCAGATCCTAACTCAAAGTTTTGTTCTCTAATTTCCCGAGTTTGTTAAAATCTCTGCTCAGCTTATCATCTTAACATCTACCTCTTCTGAAACAGTCCTAATGGGAAAAAGTAGGCCCAAATGCTCACGTTTGTATAATTCTTTCTTCTCCCAGATCTTGGCAATATAATTATTCACTAACCTGTTTGCAAATCAACATATTCAAACAAAAAATATGTTTTAAATTTCGTTTCTCCAAGGAGGGTTGGTCTAAATTGACCACACTGCCATGAATAGAAGCAAATCCCTACTGTAAATGTTTTCTTACATTCACATATTAAAGACTTACCCATTCATGTTAATAGTACGCTGATCATAGCCATACACATAATATTTTTCATAAATTAAGTGTAAAGCTATTTCCAAGCATTATCTGATAATCAGAGAGCACAACACTATCACAATTTTTTTTGACAGGATGGTAAGGAATAAACACTATTCCTTAATTGCACAGATTTTAGAGTATGGAGAGATTATTTGAATTACCCTCCCTTCTCATCTTACAGGGACAATAACTGAACCCCAAAGAGGTTGAATAAATTGTCCAAGATCACACAACCACTTAGTGGCAAGAGTGGACTTTAAAACCTGTTATCACACCTCCTAGATCTCTTAGGTTCTTTCTTCTACAACACGTTGGTTTTGTTGTTAGAGAAAGTTTCTGTACATGAACTGGGGGTTCAAGTGTTTTTGATACTAAGAGAGAGGCAAAGCTAGAGAACCTGAGACGATAGGGCATTCTAGTAATTAGGTACAACTTAAAGAAGGCTTGGGTAGGCATGGGGTGATCAGGTGAAATCACCGATGGATTGTTTTGAGATGAACAATGAAGAAAGCAGACAGAAACTAGGAAGAGTTGGGGGTATCCGGTCAAACATCCTTAGAAATTGGGGGTCTTGGCTGTAATAATGGTCAGACCAGGCAGCAATAATGGAAGGGAGGGGTTGATCATGCTGTGTGTCCACCAGGGTGGTGATAAGAAGCAGGACAAGATGAGAAGGAATGGCAGGAAAGGATGGTGTCCATTGCAGTGGGAAAATGTAACAGAAGTTAACGTTTTGTGGAAAATGGAGCTTTTCTTTGAACCCATACACTTTATAAACATAGGGCACCATTTATTTTGTGGAATAGCAAACTCGTCTTGGATGAGTTTGCAGTCTTTTTGCATTAGCTGTTGTGTAAGATGAAGGCACCATGCCTTACACGGAAATGTATTTCCGTACGTCTCTGCCCCTAAAGGCACCTGCGAGGGGGCTAGAAACTTGAAGGAGCCGTGTCTCCAGTGTGATGTTATTAGCATCACTCCTGAGCCACGCTAATTCATCCAGGCTCATACTAATTCACCCATCTGAGAAGCACTTATTAAAATTTATGCTAAGAACTAAGGAAACAGATAAAAGACATGATTGCTGCTGCCAAGAAGTTGTTTGGATTACTGATGGAATTTCCTAATACCCCGTGTTGCTCTTGGCTAGGCAAAAAGTAGATTAAAAATTTTTATTATTGTATAAAAAATTATAGGCCATGCCACTTGGAGAATGAAAAAGACCTCGTTGGTGTAGCAGGTTGAGGCTGCCCCTGGGGTATCAGGTACACATGGCCGCCCTGTGATGGAGGGGATCTGAGCACAGCCACTGCCTTGCACAGGGACAGCCTGTGCTGCTTTTCCTAAACCTGGGAAAACAGCAAAATGGCACCTTGGGACTGTTTTCAAAGATCTTAGTGACCATAAAGACAGCCAGCACTCTTCTCAGGAAGGAAGAAAATGGTCCTGCCAGTTCTGAATGTTTGCTAGATGCTAAAGTCAGACCGGGCTGGTGACATAAGGAATGCCAAAGCTCAGCTGGCGTTGTTGTTTACAAGTTAACTAAACCAAGTCATGGTAGGCGCGTCCAAGTGCCAGCACAGGGACAGGACATTTCTACCACCTTTTGCCACCACAGAAAGCTCCACTACGCCACACTGGGATGGAATGGGTCCCCTAAAGAGGTTGAAAGTTGCTGGGAGCACTGCACACACCTGTAATCCCAGCAACCGGGGAGGCTGAGGCAGGAGGATCACGAGGTTTGAGGTCAGTCTCGGCAATTTAGCAAGACCCTCAGCAACTTAGAGAGACTCTGTCTCAAAAAGCAAAACAAAAACCCTAAAAAGGACTGGGATGTATTTCAGTGCCTCTGTGTTCAATCCTCAGTACCAAAAAGAAAAAAGTAAAAGACTGAAAGTTAGGGTTGCATGGGTGTGGATAGCAAAAACGAGTGATTATGAAAAAATGCAATTAAATAAGAGGTTTTTTTTAATTGCAGATGAAACTTTTTAACATGGAATTAAACCTTGAAAAGTGATGCAAACTTTCTCCTGGCACTTTGGGTGTGTGGGTGTCTGAGTGTCTTGAATCTGGTCTGTGGGACGTGCAAGATGCTGTGCCCCTGTGTGCAGCCACCAGATGGGCTGGGGATCACCGACTGCCCAGTGACTGTGCGCACACACACATGAATGCGAGCACACATGCAAACACACCCTGTCTGTCTGCTACTGGCTTCCATCACGTGGGTGAGAGCCTGTTTAAAAAGAAGGTTCTCTTACCCATGTAGTTAGACACTTTGAAGTTCTCCCTTGACCTAGTCACATGGGAGGCACGGGATGAAGTCACTCTGCAGTTGATTGCAGCTAATGCAATTCATCTTGCTCTGTTGACAGGCATGAATTCTGTGCTGCATTTACTTGCTCAAATCCAAGTCAGTTTGACACATGCTGCACTTGATCTTCAAACATAAGACAGAAGGACATGGATGCAGTACTTATTGTATCGGTGGATGCCCAGGGCCTAAAACAATGTCAAATCTGTAACTGGGACTACATGCCATTGGGGAGCGCTGGTTTCTCTGATGGCTTCTGTCCACCCCCTGGTGGAGGGATTCATTACTAGTTGAAGCCAAAGAAGGAAAGAGATGGAAACATGATTTCCTGAATATCTATTGTCCCCCCATAATCTAGGGTCTGCTGTTTCTAGGCGATTTGCCAGCTCACCAGGAGAAGCGAAGCCCAGTCTTGCCCTTTGAACACATTCTCGCCCGGGGATGGCAGGGGGAGCCCAGCAGCAGGAGGCTCAGCTGCCAAAACGCTGAACTCGGAACCCAAGGGGCCATGGCTCTGCTGCTCTGGCAGCTTGGACTCCTTCCCTTGGCCGTGGAGGAGACCTGGTGATTCAGAGGAAGTACTGTCAGCTCTTCAAAGCAGACCCAGCTCATTGTGTAATGTTATTCTGAGGCACTGGAGAAGCCAAAAAAGGAGGCTGGGAGAAATTCCTTCCTTTGCAGTGATCAGCTTACATCCTGCACCATCAGATTTGATTATCCTTATCTTTTTTTTGCACAACTACAAATGTTATGACTGCTCATAGTGACCAGACTTCCAAAAAAAAAAAAAAAATCCTCCACAATATTTGAATCCATGACTGTGGCAGTAAATTCCTTGGACTGGCTACACGCTGTGGCAGAGGCTATTTCCTCTGATTTATTCCTCTACCAGTTCTTAACTCCATGAGGCACCCCCTGTTCTCACATTGGAAACCCCAGGGGGGGGGGCATTCTGTTCCTTTTCCATCGTTCCTTTCAGAGAGACCATTTAAATATCCTCTAACGTCTTTTTTTTTCTCATATTGAATAGTAATTTAAAAAATTAACACTGTTTTTAAACTTTTTCCAAAAATTCTGAGTGACAAAAAGAACTGATTGGAAATGTTTAGGACCCACAATAAATAGGAAAAGCAAACATATCGGCCACTTCAGACTTGCAGAATCTTGACCTACCCCAAAGCAGGCAATAATACCAACTGCTGGGGTGTGCTCAAGAAATTCCCAAATCCAAATATGTGTGCATTTCCTCCTTTTAAAATGTATCTTGCTTTTCTATATCAACACATCTCAGAGACTACTCCGCATCATTCCACAGACAGTGCTGCCTCATTCTTCTTTCAGGGCTGCCTAATATACCAGTTTGACTGCACCATGGTTTGAATCAACCAGTTCCATATTGATGGGAATGTATGTTGTTTCCAGTGTTTTGTCTGTATATGAAAAGCTCCAGCAAAGATCTTTGTAGGTCTTAACATACAAATGAAAGTATGTGCACTTTAAATGTTGATAGCTATTTCCAGATTGTCCTCCAAAGAGGTCATATCAATTTAAACTGTCACCAACAGTATAGGAAGAGCCCTTCACACTTTTTTGTAAACACAGTACTTCTAATTATATTTTTCAATTTTCTATCATATGCAGTTCTGCTTGAAAACCCTCCTGTGGTGTGAGGATTTAAAAACAAACAAACACACCTGAGTCCTGCATAGGGGGTGGAGCACATACTTTACAAGGGTGTGGCCCTGGTTTTGATCCTCATAAGAAATTTTATAAATTGGGTCCTGACTCTGAGCCTTCCATCCAGTCTCTTCTCACACCAATCTCATCTCATAAACGCTAAAATCTAACAGAACAAAATAAATGAGATGAAAAAAACAAGCAGCCAGACAGAGCCACTTACAAGTAGGTCCCCAGGCTTACGTGCCACCAAATCTGCCAACCAGCCAGCCTGCACCCGCAACTGCCTGAGTCTGTGTTTGTGGGGGTGGAGGCGGGGAAAAGTGCTATAATTTTCATCAGACTTCCAAAACAGTCCATGATTTCTGCCAAAAAAGCTAAGAACCAGTGATCTAGGAGATTAAAAAAAAGAGAGAGAGAGATAAAATGACATGGATAAAAATCCAAATGCCTGAGTTTACGGTTTTGTGTAGATAAACTAAATAACACTACACACTCAAATTACTATAAAATAATAAAAATAAAAAATTACTATAAAATAATTTAAGTGTAAAATATCTACATAAAATAATGAAGTCACTCTAGAATAGTGATTCTCAAATTTCAGACTACAATTTGTGACTCAACCTGGGTTTTGCCAAGGTTCTCTTATATCAAACAGAGATATCAACCAAAAAACAACTGTTCTCTCTGTTGTCACTGTATAAAATTATTTTAACACCCAAAAGTAGGAAAGCTACATCCTGAGAATAAAAGGCACTTCTTGGAGCTGGATGGATTCAACTGTCTAAACTCACCACATGGAGCCTCGTTTCCTCACCGTGCCATCCAGCCTGAGAATCTGAATGACACATTCAGGACAACTGTGTCACATGGGATGGCCGTACCTGGATCCGCACTTGGACAATGACTGCGACCAGGAGCCCTCTCTTGCTACAGTCTTGTTTTTGATACGTGCAGTTGGGAAATCTAGAGGAAAGAGGGATTTTTGAGTCCTGGATTTGTCCGTAACTGACTTTCATTGAGTTACTTGACCTCTTTTCAAACTTCAGTTAACATCAGGTAAGAATATTAACACATTTCCTGCCCACTTCATGGAGGTGACAAGATCAAAGAGAATGAATATATGAGCAAGTTTTTTTTAAAAAAACTATAAGGTGATACAATTAAGTACTCATATTTATTGAACATTAAAAGTGCCAGATATTCTTCTAAATGCCTCATAAAGATGATGCCAACTATCCCTCTTAACAATCAGATGAGGAAACTGAGGCCTAGGGAGCCTGAAGTCATGTGCTAAATTCAACAGCCAGTGAGGAGCAAGGTTAGGAGAGCACCTCGTGACTAATGGCTTCAATTCCAAATTCTTCTTCTTCTTTTTTTTTTTTGGTACCAAGAATTAAACCCAGGGGTGCTTAACCACTGAGCAACGTCCCTTTCTTATATTTTATTTTGAGACAGGGTCTTGCCAAGTTGCTTAGGGCCTTGTTAATTTGCTAAGGCCGACTTTGAACTTGGCGATCCTCCTGCTTCCGCCTCCTGAGCCGAGGGGATTAGAAGAGTGCACCACTGCACCCAGCCTCCATATTCTTAATCATTATGGTCAACAGTTTTCCTAACTAATGATATGATTACTACTGTGTTTATCACTCTTGCTTATTTTAATTCCAGCTAATGGGCAAACATCATAATAATTAACAGTTTGTCTGACTCAGGCTCTGTTATGTGTTAGCATGACTTAAGCTCTGAGTTCCATAAACAAAGGATTTGCTCAGGAGTCACTCAGTTAATAGAGGCTACTTGTTTTCTTATGTTCAGGTGTAAACTTCTGCAGTTAATTCTGTGACCTAGCAGCTATAAGCACCAGCCTATACTGTTGAGAAAAAGGATTGGGCATCCTCGCTTTCAAGTTGGAAACATGTCACTGGGTGAAGAAAGGCGGGATGGCATATAGAATTAGAAATGTCAGGCCCGTGAGAAATGGGACTGATGGAAACAGTGGGAGCTCTGCCAAGGCTGAGGTCTCTTCCCTTAGGACACGCCAGAGTGTGTCATGTTTTTCTTTCATTTTAGTTTGTGATTTATTTAGAGTGAAACATTACTGATTTTATCCTCTGATCAAGACAGACTCACTCTTGGTGAACTTCAGGTGGACTGTGGCTCCCGTGTGTAACAGAGAACTGTGCGGGGGTGGGGTGGGGGTGGGGGCTTCTGGCAGGAGGTGGAGGAGGCCTGTGGTGGTGTCCCCAGCTGAGACTGCAGGCCGGCCCCTCCCGCAGGAGGACAGCTTGGCCTTGCTGTCCCTCCCGGGCCCAGCGCAGGGCCACATTACCCGCACTTCAGCTTCCCAGGGGGACCTGCAGACCCGGCCCCCACACGCTGCCTACAGCCACCCTCTTCCGGCTCTCCCACCCGGGAGCTGCCAGGAGCTGGCTGGCGAGCCCGGTCCCTGGGGCATCTGGTCTGGAGTCCCCGCGGCCATCTGCCTTATCGAAGGTTCCCATCACTTGGCCAGCCTCCCTATTCCAGTCTCCCTTCTAGGGCAGACCCTGGGCCTGTGCTTACTCTCTGTCTGCGATTTTCTACTTGATCTTTCAACAGGGGACAGAATACAGAGAGGACCCGAGTCAGACAAGGTGTGGCTCTGACCCTCAGTCAAACTGCACACACACACACTATACACACACACACACACACACCACATACACACCACATATACACACACACACACACACCACACACTATACACACTACACACACTGCATATACACCACACACACTACACACACACCACATATACTACACACACTGCATACACACCACACACACTACACATACACCACACACACACCACATATACTACATACACCACACACTACACACACACCACACACACTGCATACACACCACACACACTACACATACACCACACACACACCACATATACTACATACACCACACACACTACACACACACTGCATACACACCACACATACACTACACACACACCACATATACACACACATACTACACACACACACCACACACTATACACACTA